CTATTCAATATAAATACCTTGCTCATGGTATTCAATTTCAGATCATAACTAACCCTTGTTTTTTTGTTCTTTTTTTTCAAACTTTTTTTTGCTTCTACCTAATTTTAATTTTTCTTTTTATTGTAGGGTGGATGTATGGAGGGGACGATGTGAACTGGTGTATGGAAAATTTGGACCTAATTCAATGAATAAACAGGTGATCTTATAGTTTATATGTACAAATTTAATTTTTTTTTTTTTTTGTATTTATGGTTTCACTATTTTCACCACTAATCAATTTTTATAATCAAAAAGTTTGGTTTCAACTTTGAGAAGGTAATCATCGATGGTTTGGTATGTTTCTTTTTGTTGTAGAAAGATGAGGTACCTCCCGATTTTGTTGAGGTACATGTTCTTATTATTTTCAAATATGTCTTTTCTCAGAAGAAACACTCAACTTTTGATAACACAGTTGCCACAAAGTCAGAAAGATGACTTATTTCAGGGATGAATCTTCAGAGGAGGCTAATTTTTGTCGTTAATACAATTTAAGTATTCCTCTCTTTAGATTAGGGATAACAAACTTGGCTGTTAAATTCAGGAATTATTCTTCGTTGCCAATCTCTCTCCCCAAACTAAAATATTACATATATGGAAGTAGTAACTTAAAGTTTTTGGTATCGAGGTCATTCTAAGGCACTGAGATTCGGACTTTGGTATGTATAGGATTCGTTTTCCATGCACTAAGATTTAATTATTGTTTAATTTATTGGTTTTTAGGTTTCTTTCCATGCTCTGATGCGTTTTTGGGTGTGCCAATGGAAGCTTGCATCACTCTTTACTCCAAGCGTAAGTATGCTCTGCATTAGCTTCTTCTGTTCCATTGGTTATTATGGGTTTTGACTTTTGAGAAATATACAACAATTTAAAACCAAGTTTTGTTGTTGATTAGTTCGGTTTGTATACCATATTTTGCTAAATACATATGACCATAAATAAGACCAAAGGAGCTGGGTTAGCTCCTTTGCCAGCTAGGTTGACTTCGTCTCCTCCCCGTCTTGCGGATTTCCGTTATTCAACGGGTATATTTGAGAAGTATACGGTACTAAAACCACAACCATTGATCTTAGCTTGATCGGTTCTTCCCTAGGATTTATACATAAAATTAAATTGTTTTGTTTAATAATTTTTCATTGCATGAACTTTCGAGACAACAAGTGGACAAGAGTGTAATGTCATCAAAAGTCAAATCAAACACTGTGAGGAACATAATAGACAACGTTGGCTTCTTTCGCAGCTGCTCAACGTTGTCTCTCCCGATGGTCCCAACACTCTCTTCTTCTTTTTTTGTCAACATTCAAACGTTGTTTAAAATAAATAAAAATGTTTAACCTTAATCATCTTTCTAGATCTTTAAATGCCTAAAACTTCAACTTAATCAGTCAGCAATCCGTCACGTTAATGATTTTGAAAGGAAGACTTTTGTTTTGTTTCGGTTAGTTTTGTTTGTTTAGTATTTTAATCACAAGATAACTCTAATTTCCCATTAGAGTTGTGTTAATTGTGTTGATTATGATTTGGCGTTCCAATTCTGATATTATTTTTATGTTGTAAATCTTAAACTGTTACGTTATTGTTCTATCTTCCTATGTGAGAAAAAAGTAAAATGTTTTAAAATTTTGACATGGATAATAATATAATTGTAAATCTATAATAATTATATTATCATTTTATTTATATTTTTCAAAAAGAAATATATTTATCTTAATAGATTTAATATGATAATGTCAAATATAGTTATAAATCTAAAAGAGTTATGTTATTATCCCATCCTTTTATGAGAAAAAAGCAGATATTCTCTTAAACTTTTAAATTAACGTGGATAATAATAAATAAATGATAATTTTACTAATATGATAATGATTCGGTTTTAATCTTACCAAAAAACAAATAATGATTCTGTTTTAAAAATATATAAATTTTCTTTGTTTAGTTGTAGATATTGTCATATAAAAAATTCTTAGATCCTCCACTGCCTTAATTTTATGTAAATACCTTGCTTGATATTTAATTTTGATTTGATATCATAACTAATCCTTGCTTTTTTTTTCGGCACTAACCATTGAATTTTTTATGCTGCCATTTAATTCTTGCATAAAAAATAATAATTAATAGTAGTGTTTATTATGAATGCAGGTTTGTTTTCCATAAAAACTAGATTGGATTTATGGAAGCACGTCATTGTTTCCAGTGCGAGGAAACAAATGTCGTATCACTGCTGTTGTGGCTCTTTAGTACTTTCGTTTCTGTTTATGGCTTTGCTTCGGTTGTATGGTTAGTCATCAATCATTGATCTTCTCATTGTTTGAATATTGCATAGGAAAAATCTTCTTTTTTTATGAATCTTTCAAAAGTTGGGTCCATGCTATTCTCAGTGATTGATTACGTTTATTGAATATTTGTGTGCTTCCTCTGCTGATATTCTAATTCATGCTTTATTCGTCGTCTTTGATACACTCTGATTAACCATTGTGCACCTCTAGAGTCTAATTTGCAATATTAATGCAAGTCTCTTTAACTTACGGATTATGAAGAGCATCCTAAGATCGTTTAATTTGATTCAGGCTTTATGTGGCTAATGTTTGGTCTTGGATGTGAATTAGTCTATCATGTTTCTTGGAAGGTAGGAAGCAATCTTGATGTTTACCAAAATCCAATGTGCTCTTTTGTAGCTCAGTTTTGAAATATGTACTAATTATTGTAGAGGGAACCCGAAACAAAGAGACCATATGTATGATTTTATATGCGAAGAGAAGCTCCGAATTTGAAATCGTCTCCACTCCGGTGATATGTGGCCATGGTGTGAAGGAGTCTGGAGCCATGGTTATTTCAGATTCGAACATAACCGTAATTGTTAAACTAATAAAAATAAGATCAAACGTACCGGATTGATGAGAATTTTTGGTGTTCTTCGTCATGTTCTTCGTCGTATGGATCTAACAAAACAAAAAAAATATATATACCCCAGAATTTTTTTTTGTTTGTTAATAGAGAGAACCCACCAATTTTGTAGCGTTGATTGTGACATCGAATTGTTTGTCGGATGAATATAAGTCTCTAATCCGGAGACTAAAGTTGAACCCTAACAAAAACATATATTCATAGCATAAAATTCATAAATAAAAGGTAGAGCATCACATAGCTTTTTCTTCAAAGCCAACACATCTCTCTTTGTAGCCGAATTACTCTCCAGTTTGGTATATACTCAAATTTTCCAATGACTTCCTTCTCGAACCTGGAGCGTTTTTGCTTTGCCGGATATTTTTAGGATATGGCTCTTATGTATCTCTTGTGAGTCACTTGATATGTTGTTTAGGTAAAACTTTTGGTTTGAAAGAGAATGATCTACGACAAGCATAATCGGTTATTTGTTATATATGTGGCCATGTTCATATTGCTTTCTCCACAAGCAATTTTCCAGTTTTGTAGCATTCGATATTTAAATTTAAAAGCTTCAATACGTTGCATACATGTGTATGTATGTACATATATGAATTATTCTCAGTTGCACATAGTGGTTTCTAAGGGATAGATACTTGCTCTCTGTAATCCTCTCATTTTTAGTACCTATCTTCAGTGTTTACTTTGCTAAGAGCTTCTTGATAGGCATACATCTTTGCAATCTCAGATCAATATACTACAAATACATATACGATACAGTTAAGAAAATGATATTTCTCTTACAACTTTTTATATGGGTTTTATAAACAAGAGATCAACTGAAGGGTTACGCAGCGACCAATGGCGAAGGTAGAGACAAAGATACTACAATAGGGACGATAAATATGACACGATATATACAAAAGAGATGCCTGTTTCTATACCATTGAAATTTTACGTACATAACTACTTCAAAGAGCAAGATGACTTACTTGATAGGTAAGAGATATGGTAAGAGATTATATTTTTCAATTATTTGTTTCCAACTACGAAAAACTCCAGTGACATACAATCTAAAAGCATGAATATGTCATAAAATCAAGAATACAACAAAAACCAGGAAGATGGGCCCAAATTAAAGTCCGAAACTGGACGTGGGGAACCCACAGACAGTGGCGGTCGGAGCATTACAAATATGAAAGAAACGAGGAAGCGTGAATATGTCATAAAACCAAGAGTACTACAAAACCAAGAAGATGTGCTCAAAGAACGAAACTGGATGTGGGAACCCACAGACAGTGGCGGTCGTGGCATTACAAATATGAAAGAAACGAGTAAGCATGAATATGTCATAAAATCAAGAGTACGACAAAACAAAGAAGATGGGCCTAAAGACCGAAACTGGACGTGGGGAGCCCACGGACAGTGGCGGTCGGGGCGTTGCTAATATGAAAGAAACGAGTAAGCATGAATATGTCATAAAATCAAGAGTACGACAAAACAAAGAAGATGGGCCTAAAGACCGAGACTGGACGTGGGAACCCATGGACAGTGGCGGTCGGGGCGTTGCTAATATATTGTTGGTTTAAATATATAGATTTTTTATATTTAATTCTATTATATATATCAAGATATAAACACTAATAATTGTTTGTGATTCAAAAACACTATTAATTGTTGATTACTAATAATATATATCAAAAGTTATAGCGTTTTACCATAATTCTATATTAATGTCGTTATAAAAATTAGACTCTTGACAAAATTAATTCAATAAATATCCCTAACTTGATAACCCTAAATATTAATTATTAATTCTGGTCTTAATCAACATACAACCCCGCGCTGGGCGCGGGGACCTCCCCTAGTATAAAATACCAAAGAAGATAAAAGTCAAATTAAGGAAGAGGCTTTTACTTACAAAAAAAAAAAGCAAAATAAGGATCTCATATTCTTTTTTGAATTTAATAAGGATCTCATATTCTTAATCTTATACAACCAATCCATTTTCACCATACACTCACACATTCACCATAGAAAATATCTCCACTAATTTGGAGCTATAAACATAATATTTTGAAACCTTGAAGATTAAAGATGAGGTTCTTGTTGATGAGCATGACTTTGGTATTAATGATGACGTTTGGGGAAGCAGTTAGGGATAGATGGAGCAGAGATGAGATGGTGGAGATGGCTGGCTACGGCGAACAAAAACTCTCTTCTGTTCTTCTCACCGCCTCTCTTCTCTCTTCCTCCTCCTCTCCTATTCATGGTACGTAACCAATTAGTAATAGAGTGGATTGGTCCATGTTCCTTATATACTACGATATTTCTAACACATAATCATTATCATATAGGTGCTACCATTGGCATCAAGTGCCATATTGGATATAGGAGAATATCTAAATGGATCAAAGCTGTTACAAATGAGTTGGGGCAATTCGTCATCGATCTTCCTTCTCACCTCCATGCGATTCCTGACTTGGACAAGGCTTGTATCATTAAACCACTCTCTGTTCCTAAACCATATCGATGCTCATCCAAGATTCATAGAGGAATTCAACTCCTCTCCTCTTCTAACGGCTCCCGTGTCTACACAGCCGGCAACATCACCTTACAAGAGAGCACCATGTAAAAACAGATTGTAAATTTATCTTGCTAGGAAAGATCAGTCATGACTTTATTTGTATATGGTTCCTTCTCACTTCTTGTGAGAAAGAGAGACAAGTCTTTGTAAATCTTGTTGTTCATGCTCTTCTTGTATATATAAAATTTTATTTTTGCTTCAAGCTCGGATCTTCTTGCTACTACAGAGAACATATGATCCTTTACTGATTATAAGGCAAGACCAACATATATTTGATTATGTATGAGTTTGAGAGATTAGGTATGTTTTTTTTGTGTTTAGCAGAATCTGATTTGCTTATAGCTAGGTTCTCTAGATAATTGCTAACATTCAACTAATTGGTAGGAGAAGAGAGAGGAGTTTTGTTTTATCATCTGAAAACATGTTTTGCAATCCAATATACATAACACACACATCTCTTGAGCTTTAGTTTTCACTTTCTTATAATCCAACATCCAACACTCAATATGTACAGAACAACCTAATATTAGACCATATTCTTTAGTATCTTCAATCCCATAAGCTTCTTCTTCCTCTACTGGCAACGTGGATTAGGTACGCGGCTGCACAACATAGCATAGACATGTAAATATCAACTATCTCATGATGTTTGAATTGTGTATTTTTCTCAAAATACAGAGACAAGGAAATTGTGACCAAACCTTCTCGGTAGTTTTGCCTTTCTACATTGTTTTGACTCTTCATTCAACACTGCCAATGCGTTTTCCTTTTCTCTCGCTGCGGCTTCCCTCTTCGCCTTCTTTGTCTCAACTTCAATGGCTTTCGTTAGAGCATCCACTTTCTTCAACAACATCTGAAAAGTGAAAACAGAGTTATCTTATCTTAAGTAAGGTTTTATATAGTTGAAGAGTTAAAACAACAACAAGAAGATGATGAATTTACCTTGATTTCTTCATTTTTGGCATTAATAGTACCCTCTTTACTCTCACAAATCTTCCTTAAAGCAATTACTTCCTTCTGAAGCCTGTCATATAAAAACCCTGAAACCATATCTTCAGAATCTACATTTCCATCTTCCTCTGCTTTCCTTTTGCCATCTTCTTCATGCTGATCAGTTATATCATTTGCGCTTATCTTTGAATTCTCCTTTTCATCACTTTCTGAAACTATGTGAATCGGCTGACTCAGAGCATGGATTCTGCCTGTAATTGAGCCTGAAGTAGACCTTTTCTTTGATCCACCACCACTCGTCAAGAATCCTAAAATCTTGCCAGATTTTTCAGTCTTTGTAGTTGGAGAGACTTTACACGTGTTTGGGCCCTTTAAACCATCTTCTATGGTTTTCAGCCTCAGCTTCAACCTCTCCTGTAATGTTTACTTGCATTAGAAACTACACTTTTTACCAACAAAATATTAACAATATAAGCAATCACCTTTAGCTGAGATTCAGCCTTAGCGGTTCTCTCGGAAACAGAGAGTTTATCTTTCAATTTCTGCATTTCTCCCTGCACACAGACACAAATTTCAACACTCATGTTTCCTGCATAAGCTAGTCAGTGTGTATTAAGTGGTTGTGTAAGTGAAAATCAGTGAGTACATGGAGAATCCTTCTCTCTTCAAGCCATTGCTTTACAGGCATGACTCTATCGTTCTCATCTTTCCACTCGTTAGCAACGGCAAGGGCAACTCTACTTGCTGATACTTTGACTCTGGCTAGCTCTCTCTCCAAGGTCCTCTTCTCTTCCTGTTAATATTGCACAAATCATGTGAGTTTCTTATAAACAAATGTGAGAATGCAATAACAAGACACTTGCATTGAGCTGTGAGATTTGGCGGCGATAGTCTCGAACTGCATTGGCGGCTGTTCCTCCTGCCAAGATTGCTTCCTCCAATTCTACAATGCTTTGGGAGAGCTTCTCGATCTCCAACACTTTCTGGCGGTTGATTTTCTCAAGAAACTTGTTCTCATCCTGGCATATCTCAATCTGTCGTCGAAGTTCAAAGTTGTGGTTCTGGACCTCTTCAACGATCAAAGCCCGTTCAAGGGCACTTCTCAAGATTCTCTCTGCTTCAAGAAGCGCCGATTCTTTTGATTTTGTCAGACGTTCCAACGCTTTCTTGTCCTCTTGAAGTGCAGAAATCTGTATAATAGTAGCATGTAAACTTCACACTGATACAATCATACAAGAATGAAGTTTGAAATCCAAACAGTCTCAAGAACCTCATGCTTTTGAAACTTGATCTGAGCTTCAAGAGGAGCTATGATGGATTCAAGGGGAAGAGAGTCATCATCCTGTTGGTGAGTGTAAACCCTCCTTAGTGCTTCTTCTGCAGCGTCCTGTGCCGCCAATGCATCTTCCTTCTCTCCTTCCAGCCTCTTCATCTCCACCTCCTACAATCACGTCACAAGCTTAACTTAGTCAAATCATATCTAATGTCCTTCACAAAGATGGTCTATAGTATTTGAGAAAAACCTCACCTTTTGGTCAACAATATTCTCGGTGGCTCCAAGTTGCTCCTCCAACTTCCTCACGTTTTCTCTAAGCTGAAACAAAACCAAGTAGCATCAACAGAGCTCAAGACGCTCGAATAAAAGATTTTTATACATGGAAAACATTGATAAAGAAAACTGCTAAGTGCTAGGTAAGATTGACTTAAATTTTTTGTAGGACAATCACGAACAGAGTTGATGATCATCATGTTACCTCCTTAAAGGCTCTGTCTTTGTGCCCTTCATTTGTTCTCAAAGCCTCAATTTCAGCTTTAGCAGTCAAAAGCTCTTTCTCTTTTTCTGCAGAGAGGAAATAAAGAAAACAGAACAACCTCAACATTAAACAAATTACTCAGAAGGATTGATGAACAAAAAAAAACAGAAAGAAAAAGAACCTATAAGCTGGTTTTGCAGAGAAGAGGTGTCAGATACAAAAGGGTTTTCTTCTGCAGTCATTTTGTAGTCTCAACGGCTCCTCCTTCTTTGTTTGCAATATAGATATGAGTTTTGGTCCTAAGCAGTTAAAAGAATGATGCAGAGAAGAAACAGAGGCGTTTAATATATATACACACACACTTTTAGAGAGAGAGAGACCATTCCTTAAAGAAATTGACGTTGAAAAAGAGAGAGGGAGAGAGAAAGAGAGAGTTAAAAACTTACTAACTCTTTTTCCTCATTCTCAAGCAACCGTCTCCATTTCAAACCCTTGACAGTAACCAACCCTAAACCCTCTTCTTCTTTCACTTTCATTACCCATTTACAAATTCACATTCATCCTCCCTTATCTTTATTTTCAATTCTGTTTCACTAATTATCTTATATGGAGTAAATCAATGACTGTCCTTTAGATATGATCCATCATCATAATTACCTCATTCATGTTTTTCATGTTTTTCAACATAAATGGTGTAGTTAATATTATTTTAAAAGGGACACGGTGTGAAAATAAAAAAATAAACAGCTACCTAAAATGGAAATTAAAATAAAGAGAAGAGAATATAATCCAAAGGAAGTTGGAAGGAGAAGCAGCATATGACAGATATAAAGACACTAATCATAAGGATAAAGATAATTCAAATGATTGAACTAATTTCGTTTGGTGAAAACCCTTTTCTTTCTTTCTGTTTCTTTTCTATAAAAACTAGTATATTTTATCCTTTTGTCTTTATTCGTTTTTGATAAGGTTATATGAATGTAGGTAACAACAGCAGATAACAATTATGATAATCTTGAAATAAAAATTAAGCTTAATCAACTTCTAAATAACAATTATCCAGATGAATTTGTTGTAGTTTGATTGATAGAAAGAGTAAGAAAGAAAAGTTGAAAACTTGGAAGAAGGAAAGCAAAGTGTGAAAAGGTGTTGCCTCAGCAATTAATAGCTTAACCGCAAAATATTGCACAAACCAAGCTTTCTTTGTATTAGTGGAAGTCACTCAATATCTCTCTTTGAATTATTAAAAATAAATGGGATTTCTCTCTTCTTTGCTTCCAAGTCTTAAGGTTTGGTTATTAGATGAAACAATGATAGAGAATTAGACAAAGAACACTTAGGAAGTATAATATAGAATCAACTGGGGTAAATGACAAAATTTAGGAGAGAAGTTAGGTAAATAACAATAAGTCAAAAAATAATAATTAATGGCAAAAAGACAAAGTCAATATTTTATTTACATGAAGAAGAATGATTCCCTAACAAAAACTAAAATCATAGAACCAAAATTCTAAACTCTAACACATAAAAAGTAACATGTTAGGGAAAAAAATTACTCTCCTGGAGTTTGTTATTGATTGCAAATACTCATTGGTATATTGTTATTAAAGGCAATAAAGGAAGCTTGAGCCTTACAAAAGTAAAGAATAAGAGAAGGCAATGACCTGTACTTGTTCAATCCATGGTTTTGTGGGTTGGTGAGCTCCTTTTAAGGCCTTATCAGAACCCAATCTGACCTGTAGATTTTGTCTTCATATCTTGTTACCCTCACAACCTTTTGTTCAGCCGCCAGTTGACTTATACCAGTATATAGAAGAGCATAGAATGACCTAATCAATGTTTTGGTTATATTTCACTAGTAGTAGTACCCAACCACAACACATGAAAATTTACAAGAGAAAAAACAACCACCAGGTTTGGTTTGTATACATATATAACTTAGGTTGTGTTACAACTTAAACATCATTGCACATCCTCAAAAATTTACAGCGACAGATGTGTTTTTGTTGTGCTCTTCATCCACTCAAGTCACCATCATCACTATAATTTACCCAATCTGGTTTGGGTTTGGGTTTGGCTTCCACGTGGAACATGTAGCCATGGGTTGTCTCTTCCAGAAGAGATATAGCGCTCCTTCATTCCCTCCCAGTGTGTAGTTTTTGTCATAACCTTTCAACATCTCACTCGCTGCAAACGCTGCGGATGTGCTGACTGGCCAGCCCGTGAACCCAGCCATCATCATTCTCACCCTCCATTTCCCCAGCACCTCGTGTCTCTCTACTCTCTCCGAATCCTCGCACGCTATCATGTTCACTATGTCTCTTGCTACGCAGTGTTGTTCTGCGCTGATTCTCTGCTTATCATCCCGTGGCCGCGCTACATCTATCGACTCAAACATCGCTGTGTAGTAATCCAGTGTCTCCACAAACCGTGACAGGAAAGGCGAGGTGTTTGTGTTTGATTCTTGCTCCACTAGAGTAACGAGTTTTGGGGAGAG